CGCCACTGTATATCCCCCTCATAAGGAACTATCGATAGCTCACTTGCTTGCCTCTGAAAATCTTGAACCATGGCTTCAAGCTCACTCACTTGTTTTTTCAGACTTTCAACTTCCCCACGACTTGAGCTACATTCCCTGCTTCGGTATCGTCGTAATGCATTCTCTAAACTTGAATTTTTTTCCTTCAACTTCTCATTCTGGGCTTGACTCTGTTGTAACCGTTGCTCTAAAGAATCCTTTTCTTTCGATAAAATCTTCACTTGGTGCCTGCTTTGCTTGAGCTCTTATTGACTCTCTCCGGCTACTCTTTTGAGGCTCGCCACCTCTTTCCTCCATTCGACAGATGACTTACTTGAGCTATAACCTGTCTGAGCTTTTACCATTCGCTGATAAGTTGACCGAAGATCGTCAAAGTCTAGCCGAAGTTGTTTCTCTACTTTTTCAATTCGATCTGCTCTACTCTTCTGAATGTCAATCTCCAATCCCTTTTGATACACTTCATCTTCTAGCTTCTGTAAAGTCATTCTCCATTGTCTCCGTTCTGCTTCGAAATCGTGCTTGGCTAACTCTAATGGAGATGGCACCACTCTCAATTGTTCCTCCACCGGCTGAATATTTTCAGGATTCACTATCGGGATGTTGTCATTTACTCGACCGCTTCTCCACTTCTCATACTCTTGAGATAACTCGAGATCATAGGTGAACAAATTCACGCGACGAGTTTGCTTCCAGGCCTCAGCAACCCCTTTAACTTTACCCTTATATTGATCTCCTTTGAATGTAAAATCCGATCCTACCAAGTCCCACGTGGCTGGAATGAACTGCCTTGACCCAAACTGTCTGGAAACTAGTAGCGGTGCATACCCAACAGAACCCCATATACCTGGCAAAAGAACCCAATCTCGCTCTCCACATCGGTAAAGTATATCCGACGAGGTATTCCACGAAGCTCGCCACAAAATATCTCCATCTCTGATATCCTTGAAGATGACAATCCATTTTTCTTCGGTGAAGCCCCCAGGCCATTCTTTAGAAAGAAAATCTTTCAAAGGCGAAAACCCCTCTAGAAACACTCATCCTGGTGCTCTTTCGACATGTTTGAAATGACTTAGAATCCACACTAGCAACAGGGGCGCACATCCTATAAAGCGTCATTCTCCTTCGCGCCTACAAGAACTCAAAGACCGGAACGTCTCAGCTAGAATAACTGGAACAGGATCCACGCGCTTGTCTAATCTTTCAAACAGGTCAATGACTGATACGTCTACATATCCTAACACCTTTGGAAAAATAACGAGCCCATAAATCCCTAAAGTAAACAAGTCAATCTTCTTTCTCCTATCAGGGTGATGAGCAATTACTTCTTTCAAAGCAGCCCAAGAGATGCACTCACTATCTCCCTTCTTCTTAATGTTTCTGACTACCCATTCTTCACTCATTCCGGTCATCAATAGTAATTTCTTCTTAAACGAATGAGTGACTGGTAGCTTGGTATATATTCTATCTATCTGGGACCTGGGACAACGGACCAAAGCTTGATACTCCTCTATTGTTGGTGTCAGATCCACTCTACCAAATGTGAAACAGCTATAAGCCGGGTTCCAGAATTGTGCCAATGCTCTAAACAGATTTCGGTCAATAGGAACATCCAGAAGATAAGGAATATCGCCGTACAACTGATAAAACATCTCCTTATCGGCTACCGTCCATCTTCCCCATATCTCCTTTAGCTCACTTAGATCATTCTGACGCACGTTAATGTGAGTATAACCAAATAACTCCGACACGTATCCAGGCAACACGCTGTCCCCATTGGTCAGTTGGGACTGTTCCGACCACCTCAAAACATCTGCATTGTCTTCAACCTCTTTCTGAGCCGTTCGTTCCATATTACTGGCCTTCTATATGGATATCGATCCCAAATCAACACCATGTAATGGATCGTGCAATGCAAAATAGAAAAGAAACAAGGCAAAGATAACAAAAGATCGGTTAGTAGACATAAAGCAATTAAGTCGGGATAATAATTTATTCAAAAATCCTACCCACACATGCTGGCTACCCAATCATGCTTTATCAGATCCTACCCAACATGATATCTACCCCCATGCCTCGTTATTCATAAAAAGAAATCCTAACCGCATGATATCTAATTCGCATGCTTGTTCGAAAAATAAACCTAACCGCATGATATCTAGTTCGCATGCATTTATTCGAAAAAATGAAAATAAATGACTCAAAAAAACTTTTCCTTGTGTACCCTCCTCACGGGATTCTTAAGGTTCGGGTTTGGCTCAACCTAAGTTTGGGCTCTATGTTCACTATATGCTGGGTTCGGTTCTAAAGTAATAGGTTCTCGAATTGTCCTTGCCGGTGCCCCTTGGGATGCCAAACCCTCAATCTTGGCCCATCATAGGCTTTAGGGGATCGAGTTTAATTTCGAGGGAACGCACCTCTTTATGTCCATGCGGAGGTGATTACCATCACGAGGACCATAAGGCGTGAGCTCCAGGAGTGATCCACTATCCCATGCGGAGGTGAAAACCACACGAGGGCATAGTCTCTCACTCCTACTTAATTAGGACGGAGCGGGTTTTAGCTCATGTCATGAAAATGCAACTGTGCAGTGTGTGAGGAAAAGCGAAAAAACACAATAAAAACACTCAAAATTTCCTAAATTCATACAATTAATCTGAAATCATTAGCAAACAAATTAGTACAACTATTTAATTGTTAATCGAATTAAATCAAAATACAAACAAAACTTATTAAAAACCAAACAAGGGATAAAAAACCAAATTAAAACGAATTTGTAATTTTCAATTGTAAAGAACATTAATTAATCGACTATCGGCCTGACTCTCTCTAAAAACAAGTTCCCAGCAGAGTCGCCAAGCTGTCGAAACGATTTTTTTCTTAAAGGTGAAAAGGTGAGATTTTGAAAACCACATTAATTTTTGAATTATCTCTTTCAATTGATTTTTAATTTAAAAACAAATGCAATTTAAAAACCTCTCGTTTCGAAAAATTTTGGATTTCCTTTACGATCGAAAAAATACGGTTCAAAGAGTCGCCACCAATCCTTGATTAGGGTGTGATTGGACACTCAAAAATGTTTTTCATTTTAAATAAAAATTAATTTAAATTAAAACAACAAATTGTGGTCCGCGTTACCAAAAAATGAGTTCGGGAGTCGGTTACGTGTGGGGAAGGATTAGCACCCCCACAACGCCCTAAATGGTACCTAATCGATTAATTAACGTCTTTGCAATGAACTTTACAAATTTGAACTTAATTTAGCTTTTGATCCCATAAAACGAAGATGTAAATTTAAAAAAAACATTCAAAAGCACTCAAATAAATTAAATTAAAATTTCCAAGTCGTTTTAGAAAGATAAAGAATGTTCGATTATTTACAAATATCGAGACCATATCTTAAAGATATAACAACCTGTTCTCGATAAATTTAAATAAACGAACATTTCCTTTTCTCTCGTTCCCAAATTTTAGGTGATGAATCAATTTTTGGTTTCACTTTCGGGATACACTTTTAATTTAAAATCGTCAAAACGACCCTCTAATCAGTTAAGACAGGCCACTTAGGATAATTTTAAATTAAAAGGGTATTACCCTTTAGTCCGATTATGTAATATGTCGAGTTATACAAATGAGGATATCATACAAATTGTGCAAAAAGTATGTAATGCCAAAAATTAATTAAACAAAATTAAAAATATCATACAATGTGACATACAAAAAATTACATACATATATTTTAATTAAGGATTATAAACCACGCATATTAACATATTATATACACATGTGACCTAAATATAAAAACAAAATCATAACATACTAAACTATAAATTTTAAAAAGATATATACATATTAGAGTTAGAACTGAATTTAAATAAATGTAAAATTCGATATACAAATTAAAACTAAAGTATGGATCTAAATGAAACTTGCCTAAATATAATGGATTTACAAACAAATAACCAAAAAAAACTACAACCAGAATTGAAATTGGTAAAATAATGAAACCAGGACAAACAAAATGTTAAATTCGAAAGCAATCCTAAAGGTGACTAAAGCATAAATATGTGACTAAAAAAACAAGGGCACGAAAGCAAATTACCTTAAAATTTCAGTGGCTGAAAATTAATTAAGCTAAAAGTCTTAATATAAAACCTAAACTAAGATAACCCTAAGCTAAACTCACCAATCCTGAATTCACGCATAGCCGCATCACACTCTGGTCTTCTTTTCCATTTGTAAAACATAGAATCATATATAAGATATATCATATTTCTGAGTTTTTTAAAGGTTTTGAAGCCTTCCTCTTTATTCATTTCCAATCTCTTTCGTTCGAAACAAAATAGGGTGAGGAAATAAAAAAATGAATGTTCCATCTACCTTTGCTTTTGAAGTCGGACGTTGGAACTAGGCTCATTGTTGGGGGTTGTTCTTAGGTTTCTCTCAGAGGCGGACCTTAGGTTCTCGGTCAGAATCGATGAGATTGAAGCTGTGAGGCCATCGACGCACTGTGGCAGGTGATGTTAGCTGTGAACCTTTTTGGGTTCTTGTCGAGAGAGAATTTTGAGATAAGGAGAGGAGGCGGTTCCTAATGGAAGTTTCCAGTTTATTGAAGACGGAATCGAATAGAGAATAAATGGAGTCCACAAGATTCTACTTGCGTTCAAACAACCCAGTAATTCGATTCAAAATATTTTTTAGTTTCAAAATAACACACACACGAATATTTACTAAAGAGTAAACAAAATAAAGTACCTCCTAAAAGCTTTCCTCTATTCTGATTTTCCCTGTTAATGCTTTCTGTTTCTTTGTGTTGTTTTTGCTAGAGAAAACGCTATAGCCTTTGTGAATGATTGACGCTTTCTTTCCAATGGAACCGTGAAATCTCTCACTGCTCTTTTTCTTCAAAATCGTCTTCCGACTCGGGTTTTTTTTGTTTTTGATGGATTGTTTAATGATTGGTAATGGCTACTGGTTTTTTTGTTCTTGATGGAGTGTTAATGGTTGGTAATGACCACTGGTTTCTCCTCTGTCTTGGTTTTTGTCTCGTGATCCCCCTCCTTACTGTGTGTAATCCCCTCTCCAGATAGTTTTTCGTGGTTAATCCCCCCTCTATTCCTATGGCAGTTAAATCCAATAAAAACTGACCCCAATTTCTCTCATCTTTTGCATACAGCTGCTGTCCATCGGGCTTGAGATAGACCTCCATCTGGTTTGGGCTCATCTGGGCTCTCATTGCTTCGGGTATGTTCCGACTTAGCCCCGGATAAAAACGAGCATCTACATTATGAGTGTAAGTTTCTTCTTGTTTGTGGTTAATGATCACCTAATTCAGCATAAGTCGGTTTTTCGACTAGGATTATTTTCGAGTGAGATTGAAACTACCCAATATATCTCTAGAAACATCAGAAGTGATTAAAGCTGTATTTTCTCATACTCCTAAGTAACTCAAATCTGACAATGAAACAATAAGCATAACAGATTATATCTTTCATGGACTGCAAGATTGTCAAACATATACATTTTACAAGTTTTGAATCTTCAAAAGTTTAGATCACCATTTTGGATGAATATTTGGAAAGGAGTAATTCTTCATTTCCCTTGAACTAAATTCTTGTTATTGTGGCAAATCAATCAGAATCTTTTGGTCTGATTCTTGATGTAAATACACTCAGATGGGTTAATGCCAAAATTGAATGTCCTGCCTCGGTTGTTGTAAAAGCTATTTTAGATGCAGTTTTACTAATACAGTGACAGCGTGTTTCTACAGTAGCACCGGAGGAAAGTTGAAGATCCAGAACTGCTTTAGGCAATACGTTTAACAATTATAAACAATTTACTTCAGTATCATCCGGTAATCATCTCTTATTTTTCCTTATTCCTGGTGAAGAATCTCCTAGTGAAGTCTATTGCCTTGTTATGTGGTCCAGGAATCAAGCTCCCAGTTAGCAATGGGTGCAACCTTTGGTGTTGAGCCACCAAAAGAAACGGTATTCCTCTTGCAAAACCTCTCTTTTCTTCTCACCCAATGAGTTCGGGCATTTCCCTATGTTGAATGTTTCTTGAGAACTGTTATATTGATATTTGTTGTAATTCCAAAGGATATTTTTCATACTCGCTGCTGGGACTGGTGCAACTGGTCATAAATGTTACAAATCAATTATTGATCTGAGCATGATATCCCACATTAATCTTGGCTTAAATTTTGAATTCCTCAGGTTGATGTGGATATTGCAACCCACTTAAGAGTTCGTTATGATGGTCCTGACCGTAGGTAATGGTTACCGTTGTCTCTCTCTAACTGTGGCTTATGGCCTTATACCATACAATCCCTGCTCCTGAAATTTTGATACTTATGACTATAGCCTTGGCCCCATTTTGTGGTTCTCACGCCGGATGATTCATTGGTGTAATTGTGTAAATGAAAGGGTCGATATCTTTGGCTTTTTACATTCGTCATTCCCATAGAATTTTATTTGATTGAAAAGAATTTTGGTTAAGCTTGCTGTTTGTGGAGACTGCTGATCGCCCGGGGTTGCTGGTGGATCTTGTGAAGACTATTACAGATATAAACATTGCAGTTGAGTCTGGGGAGTTTGACACCGAGGTGATCGACTGTTATTTGTTTTCTTTCTGTCGCCAACGAACTAGGATTAGATTATTATCACTTCACCTGCTTATTGGAGAACCGGTGTTAGTAACTTAGTATTAGCATAATTAGTAATTTTGTCTACTTTTGGACCTTTGCCACCCAGGGGTTGCTTGCAAAGGCAACGTTTCACGTCAACTACAAGGGCAAAGCCCTCATCAAACCTCTGCAGCAGGTAAATAATACTAAACCTAAGCTATGGAGAAATGTGAGCTTTCCAATAACATGCCATAGGTTTACCCATTGAGGTGGAATTTTGGTATATGAAATCTGGCAGGTTCTTGCTAATAGTTTACAATATTTCTTGAGGCGTCCAAGTACGGAGGAGGCTAGTTTTTGAGGCACCATAGCCAAGTTTAGGAGCAACTTACCAATACAATGGGTGAAGTTTTAGAATGTTTTTGCCAATAATCTCTTCCTGTAGCAATTCTACATATATTCTCCCCTATTACTGTTACTGCAAGTCTGCAACCATAGTTGTTGTATAACTACAACTTGTGCTACACTCCAGGGGTGACTTTTGAATTCTTTGCAGAATTTGTGGATTTTGTGTGTAATTTGAATCAAGCCATGCCCACTTTTTTATTTTCTTTTAATATTTTGTCCAATTAATTTAATTTTTTAGAGTTATCAAATTGCTTACCACTTGAACCAATCTCGTTGATAAGTGATTAATTATTTAAATAACCCGTTGGTAAGTTATTAATTATTTAAATAACATGCATTCCTGATAAATTTATGAAATATCAACCTTTCTTGTTGAGACGTGAAACATCATACAAATCAAGAATTATTTTCTTAGTAATCTCAAGGGTTTGGTGAAACATGGACAACTCCTCCTTACGTTATGAAACTTGCGTTATCAGCTGGAATTGGAGGGCTTCTATTTGGTTATGACATGGGTAAAAGGGTCTATAACATTTAGTCGCTCGAGGAGGAGCGCGTTCATAGTTTTACTAATATGCGACAATTAGGGATAGTTTGATTCAAGGAATGTAGGATTCTCATAGGAGTGGAATCCACATTTTCATGTTTGATTAGCCGGAATCTCATTCCCGGTAATATTTTATTACCAATAGTAGATTTTTTTTAGTATATTACCGGGAATGTCATTACCGGGAATGTCATTACCTCTTTTTCCTTAAATATTGTTAGATTATCGGCATTTTAGACTAAAACGTCTTTAATTTTTTTTCTCAAAAATATCATTCTTCTGTCATTGAATAATAAAAATTATACGAAGGTTAAATTACAAATTTATCCTTAAACTATTTTAGATTTACAAAAAAAATCTATAATTAAAATTTTATATGAAGTTCAGGGGTTATTTTACCCTTTCATTAAACATTTTTATATTTTTAATTTTGTAAAAATATATATATATAAATTTTATGAATTTAAATTTTTTAAAGAAAATATATAAATATTTTCAACTTGTTAAAACACAAATATATAATAAGGACAATTTGATCAAATATACATTCCAATAATCTTTTATTCCTTTAACCAAACACGGTAATCTTACATTCATGCTAAACTAACCAAACACAAAATACAACATTCCCAGTAATCTTATTCCCTGGTAATCTTATTCTCACTAGTAATCTTACATTCCGTGAACTAAACGCACTCTTAATGTTGAATTGAGGAGTGGTGCTCTACTTTATATCAATGAAGTTGGCAAGGAAACATGGCTGCAGGTTAATTTCGGTGTGTACGATGTTTATGCGAGAAATTAAGAAGAGAAAATTGTCCATAACTTGATGATTGTATCGCGGGAAACCCTTAGTGATGACAAACGGACGGTGTGGTGTCGATATTCTTCTCCCATCCTCATATACATTTAATATTTTTGTATCAACCATCTACCTATCATCTACGATTGGTAAAAATTTTAAATTCACACCCTTCCACACAGGTACGTTTTCAAATTCATCATTCCATTCACTACCTAGCTGGATATGCACCACTCATCTCATACACGTCTATACTTATCCATGTCCATTGATTTGAAATAGGAGAAACGAATACTTCAATTTTAAAAATATTTATACTATAATATTTGATTAAATTTCAATTCATCTCTTATAAAATTTTAATATTTATAAAATAATCTTTAGAATTATACCTAAATTTATAATTGTTCAAAATTTCTATGGTGGATAGTTAGTGGGCGTACGTATGTGGGGCAGGCGGATGCGGGACGGGTAAGGTCTTAAACCCATCATCTACCCACTATACACGATGGGTATGATTTTTTATATCCACAGTCCCCACCGACACAACTTATACTCATCTCCATCCCAACTGATTCGAGTACAGTGTGAAATCTACGAAACTTACCCGTCTGCCATCTTAGAAACCATTGCGAGCATGGCTGTGGCAAGTGCTATATTTGGAGGGTGGATAAATGACAAGTTTTCGTTGGTTTAGGAGTCGAAATGGCTTCTATGACCGAATTGCACTTGCCAGCACCAATGGCTTGCTGATTACAGGAGGCTAATTTCTGGTCAATAACCGAACAATGATGATACTTTGTTATGCTCAGTTCAGGACAAGATGGAAGAGGCCAAGGCCATGCTAAAAAAAGATTAATGCTGCTGAAGAAGTTCATGAAGAGATTAATTCCTTGAGAATCTCTGTATAAGCTGAAAAAACAGACGATCATGACACTGGGGACACTATGATTCAAAGGTTGAAGGGTGCTTTTTGGAGATGATGCAGTCCGAAAGGGGCTGCATGCTGGGGTGACAGTTCAGGTGGCTCAGCAATTCTCAGGTGCCAACAGGGGATGTATTAATACAGACCCTGATAGTTCAGTTCGTGGGGTTTGCACTGCATCGAACAACACGGTTGTTGACAGCGCCCGGAGGAGGAAGATGATGCTCATTACAATGGGTATCATCGTATGCCTCGTAGGGTTATCCGTTGTGTTCTGGCGCTGTGATCTTCGCTCCACAAAAATTAACCCGTTGGAATCTACGAATTTTTGCTGCAAATGCTATGTGCCAAAGTTATAAGTCAGCTGCTAATCCAGCATCATTGAACTGCATGTCTTGCATGAAAGCTGGATGCAGTTTCTGTACCAATAAAGCAATCCATTTCTTTATCAGTTTAAGTATTTTAATCTCATCCCAAATCTAATTTTGGTTTTACTTCTACTGTCTATGGATAAGCTTATAAATGTTGTACAATAGATCTTACTAATGAACAATCTTACATGTTGTGGAACATTTGCCTGTGTACTCACAAGATGCTGATAACACTTGAACGATCCAAGTGAAACATGTTAAAGCCACAACGGATGCCAACACTTGCTCTGCCAGCTAATGCATGATTAATATATGTAAATTGGGGTTGAAGCAGTTGGCAGGAATTGCTAGATGTTTGCAAGTAGGACAGATCGATGGTGAAGGTAATAATACACAGCAGATTACCTTATTTACACCAAATAGGGATAGTTCCCCTAGGCAAATTGGAAAATTGCGGGAAATGAAATAAAAACAGAACTAAACCATTTCTTCAACATTAATCGAGGCATAAACATATATCCGGAAAAGAAAACTTGAGGAAAAGTATTTTTCAACCACCACTTCATTTCGGTATCTACCACAGCTAGACATGATCAAAAAGTTCATGATATGTGAGTGATCCCTGCGCAACTGCAGAAGGCTCAAGCTACAAGATGCGATGATAAAATTACAAAAGCATTCGGTTGCAGATCACATCAAATTAACATAACCTCCATATTCACAATGCAGAAAACTTACAATCCAATTCATGCAACGGAATTTCGGTTACTTGGACAAAACATAGGGAAATAATCCAAATCTTATCAACCCGAAATCCACAAGTCAATCCTGAGAACAGAAGTCAACAATAAGAGGGGGAACCCCCCCCCCCAATCTAGTAAAAATCATACAACTCAATGTCAGTCTCAGTCCCTTGCAAACTAACCGCCCCCGATTTGTCTTTTGTATTTGTACAACTCAATCACACTGTACAAACGATGCAAACACTTCCTATACAGTAAAGAAATAAATAACCTGGTATAGTTATTACTAATTAAACAACACTTCTCTAAGGACTGGAGCACAAAGGCTCTTGTCCTCTTGTCCGGATCCTCTCAGATACCAAAGAAGAGTTTCAGCCTGCAAAATTAACATTCAACAAATAAGTCAATTGTTGATATGAAGCAAACGTTACATAATGTGTTTTACAAATGCATAGGTAGTAGGGGTGAGCATTATCGGATATCAGAAAATTTCGGATACCTAAAGTAATGATCCGTAGCCGATCCGAAAAAATCGGATATCCGAAAATTCGGATCGAATATCCGGATCCGAATCCGATTTTTTTTGGCAAAAAATTCAAAAAAAATTAACATAAATTAAGGCGTATGTGGTGACACTCATCAGATTCTCTAAACCAAACTTATCATCAATATGGTGAACATACCTATGCTGATCATTCCATGATATTTTTCTATAATGGTTATGAACTAAAAAAGAAAAGAAGCTTCGCTAACTGGAAATGTAGTAACCAAAGGAGATGTCAACCTCCGCGATATCAGTCAGGTATCGCAAAGGAAACGTTGCCTTATTCGATATTTTCAGTTACTTCACTACTATAGAGTCAATACAATCAGGAAACCATGATCCATGAAATACAATATGAAAAATAGAAAGACATAACAAGCACTTAAAGGGGTAAAAAGAGCATCTAATTGACTCTATCTGCAACTGCAAGTGCGACGATTTGAAACAAGAGAAAAATCCAAAACAAAAAAAAACAAAAGCAGATTTACAAGAAATTCCCAGAAAAATGCAATTATTCCCCACCAATTCAGAGGTTCGAACTTACTTCTCTTGTGAATTGCCTCCTGCAGATCAGCCACAGTCGCCTGCAAAACAAAATAGAAAAGAAACACAATGAATTCCCATTTTTCTCCTCAAAGCAACCCATTTAAAAACAAACAAATCACAACAGAACTATGTGGTGACACTCATCAGATTCTCCATCCAATCGTTTCTCACCAGCAAAGAGCGTACAATGGTTCCAAATGCTACCAGCAGAGCTCCACAACTCCTCCCAAACCACAACAGCTCTTTATCGAAAATAGCAAAAAAAAAAAATCGAATTTTCGGATAATCCGAAATTTCTTTTACCGATCCGTATCCGATCCGATAATTCGAAAAAAAAATTCGGATATCCGATCCGAACTATCCGAAAATTAAAAAACGGATCAGATATTCGATTTTTCGGATCGGATCAACGGATCGAATCGGTCGGGTTTTTTTGCATACCCCTAATAGGTAGAATAGATGCAAAAGTAAAGCAATTCCGCGATGCTCGGTTTTGATAATTCAAATGAAAATTACTTAGTAACAAAACAATGTTTAGTCGAAAAAGTAATTCGATCAAACTATAAGC